GGCACAAATAATGCGGCTGGCCAGTTTCTGGTCTCTCTGCATTGCTTTAACATTTATCATTCTTTTTGAAAAACAAGGAGTCTTTTATCTAAAGTACCTACTTACCTTAAAGTGTCATGAACATTGATGTCACAAGAGAAAACACACAATTGTTTGTTTTTTTCAAACTGTTACAAATTCAGTCTAGAGGAACAAGCTTGCTTTACTGTAAACTGTATTCATGGGGTGCGGGGAGGGCTAGGGAGGCGTGGACGCTTCCCCAGATTGAATTTCCTTTGTCTTTTACCAATTCCTCCTCTCAGCTCATGCTTTCACATGTTGCTTATACCAAAAGCATTCACAAGGGTAAGATGATGAAAAGTTTAACAATTTCTTAAATATTACTTTTAACCTGCCACCCCCAGTTTCCAGTGACTACTGTAGTAGATCTTAAATAGCTATCAATTTTGGCTAGAACAAATAATACATCAACTATTTCATTTTTCCAATTAATAGGATGTTTCTGATCTTCTAAAGAATGTTTTCACCCACACAATTCTTTTTACAAAGAAAAAAAGCTTCAGATTCCCTGTACCAGAAAAACCCTCATTAAAAATGAATTTCCGACATGAGATATCAGAGCAAGGGCAAGTGTTCAATTATGACATTTGCTTTAAATCTGTTGATCATAGGCCTTTCTCATATACTAATGAAACATTCGCTTGAAGGATAAAAAGGAAATAGCAGATGTTAGGTAAAAAGTAATATAGTTTTGTCCTTTTTTACATAACTCAACTGAACAACATCTTAGAAAGACTACTGATATTTTTTGTTTGTTTTTCATATTTTTCTCCCTGGTGTCGTTTTTTAAAAAACCAACACATTTTGAAAGTCTTAACTCAGTAATTTATCTTAAAGAGGTCACCTGCCTCTATGAGTGGCACACACTTTGGGGGTGTTTCTGTATCTGACCACGATAAAACGGGCATGGAGTGAGATTGCAAGGAAAGACAAGGGTGTTTAATAAAGTGTACCATCACTTTAGGCACATTTAATCCACTAAACCTTTTAGATACAGCTAAACTATACATATTTCCCTACATTCTTTTATACACAAATATAGCAAATCTTTGCACCTTCCATTCACTGAAAGATTCCAAGTATCTATAACATGGGGAAGTACTTGGAAGAGCACCTCCCAAATTAGAACAATTTCAGCTCTTAAATTGCAATGTTTGTTATCCCAATTTATTTTATAATAAGTAGCAAAATTAGAGAGTGAACCTTTAAAAGTAGCATATTCACATTGGTTTTATGTAATTCATCAAAAGATCAGAAATACATTTCCAACGGAGAAATGCTTCTATATATATCTTCTCTGACTATATAGTTGTTGGTTTTTTTTATTGAAAAGTAAGAGTTAACCGACCTGTTGTGAAAATGAAGTGTTGTGTCTCCAGAAAATCAAGCAAACTACTCAGAAAACTGCTGTCTGTGTAATGCATTTCAATATGGAGTGGGGTGAGGTGAAACACCATTGATTAATTTGACAGAAATGTACACAACAGCATGATCATCATATTAAGTACCTGCTCAAATTTGACTCTGTCGTAGGAATTAATCATCTCTGAGAACTTGAGACTTAAGATATTAGGAACTCAATTGCAAATAGACTTAATTATATCACATGATGTAGATTGTGGGTTATGATGTAATTACAAATTGAGAGATTGCTTTGAGAAAGAAACAAAAATAACATTTTCCCTTTTAACTTAAATAAAATTCAACATTAAAAGGTCAATATATATATTTTTGACTTTTATAAAGATGTAAGTTCTGTAAAATCAGTGGCTGAGGTGGCAAATTCAGCAGGCCGGATCATGTCAAGGCTTAGGCCACCGATTCTCAGAGGAGGGGTCAGGTAGGGAAAAGGGTGAATCAAAATCTCCAGGCCACACATGCAGCCAGATTTTGTAAGTTCTGATAAATACCCACCCAGGTCCACCGCTCTCTGTTCAGAAAAGCTTTAACCTTGATTATCCCTTGCTTTGATGATTATATCTATATATCTATATATCTATATATCTATATATCTATATATCTATATATCTATATCTATCCACACACACACACACACACAGCCCACAACTGGAACGTTGGAATGACTGAACAACTTGAATGACCGGTCACTATGACGCACACTGCAGCTGGCCAACCGGCCTGATGGGGGCGGGGCTGGCCAGCCAACCTCCCGTGGCCCTTCCCCCCAGCTGTCTCCCCACCTCCACCCCTTTACCCATTTACATCTATATATCTATATATCTATATATCTATATATCTATATATTTATATATCTATATATCTATATATCTATATATCTATATCTATCATCTATCTATCTATCTATCTATCTATCTATCTATCATCTATCTATCTATCTATCTCTATATATAGTTGAAAATGGTGAGTTATTTAATCCTGACCAAAGTAAAAAAACTGAAAGAGGTAAACACATACTATTCCTAATACTTTTGTTAAGTATTTTATAGTCATGTAGTTTGTCTTTTTCTTTTCTTTTTTTAAATCATAGTAAAACATCTAGATATGCTTATCCTTTTTACACTATTTTATAATTTAATCATTCTAGGACAGTTATGCTTACCTAAAGAATTTGTGATTTTTTCATTCTTAATTAAACATTATACAGATAAGTAAATGTTAATATGAATTTATAAAACTTTCAAACTTCTGAAAGGATACAAGGATCATAAAAAAATGGAGAGTAGGACAAATGTCAAATATAAATAATTATATCAAAGTTTTATCATTATTATTATTATGTGTCTGTGTTACCAAATTCCAGGCTTTAACATTAATTTAAATTATTTGTTTTATAAAATGAAATAAGTCTTTCCTGATTTTGTGGTTTAAAATCCAGATTGAATGTCTTTCTTCCCCATGGAATCAATTTTGACCCTCTTTTAACTGATTTTACCTACAACCTTTTATTTGTCAGGATTAGTCTCTATGCTAGTGAAATGGATACATTTCTAAATTTGCTTATCCCATTAAGTTTTGACAAATATAAACTTGCTCTCTTACTCTAAGTAACTAGACCTAGAGAAAGAATAAATATTTTGAGCCATTTAAAATATATATTAATGAAAATGGCATAACCATTTAAGGTATTTAAACTGATTGTTTGTGATATGTCAATAGGATAATTCATTAGTCCCGTTCTGCCAAAGTGGCATGAATTCCTCTGCAGAATGAATGTCTATAGAGAATAATCCACGGAAGACAGACAAGCCTCTTGTCATTTGTAGCCTTAATCCATTGCCCGGGGTGTGAAAGGTGCTCAGGATAACAAGTGTGGGAATCAGTAAAATCAACATTATTTTTGGATTTTATTTTCTTAACAATACTGACTGGTCAATGGGCTGTTGGAAACTGACAAATACAATATGGATCTGTTTGATGAGTCAATCCAACTAGTGAAGTAGAAAGAGAATCCCTCATCCCTTTCCCCCATTTTACTCCCTTTAAATCCTCTTCATTTTCTTCCTCCTCCTCCACCACCTACAGAGAGAGAGACAGAGAGAGAGAGAGAGAGAGAGAGAGAGAGAGAGAGAGAGAGAGAAGCGCTCTTTATTGGTCTGTAGACATTAACTGTATGACAAAGCTCAGACTATTTTTTTTATGAGGCTACTAAACCACTTTCAATGCCTGTTTATGTATTAAATTGTGAGACCCACCCTCTTCTTTCAGCTGAGACATTTTTGTATTGTTGAAGGAGAGTTCTCTCTCCTGTTTCAAGTGTGTATGTGGTGTGGCTTGGAGGGTGGGGAGAGTGCAGGGCAGATAGAGCTGGGGAGTGAAGAGTAAAGAAGGAAACGTCTGTCCTATTAACCTTTAGATATCACACTCCACAAAATCTTATAAGAATATCAGCTTTTGGGGAAAATTAAAAGAAAAAAAATGGAAGAGGAAAGTTAAACACCTCAGACAGTGTTCCTATTTAGGAAAGAACTAATGATGTTGTATGACCGCCGGAATACATTCACGTGTCCGCAGAAAAAGTAGGAACCCTTATCAGCTACTGAAGACACGGAGATATCCTCTCTCTGTCAGTCCTTGATACTCAGCAGGGACTTTGGTGAACTTTGTCATCTTCCTCTGCCCTCTAAACCAAAACTCTGGAAGTGGCTTTAATTAATGAGATGTGATGCATTAAAAATGTTAGCCAGAGCATTCCAGAAGCTGGAAAACCCTAGCTCTTTTTAAATTCTGAGTATCCTTTTGAGAATACCCTGTTGTAATTTATAATTCTCGGTGGACCTATATTTGTCTTGAACTGATTGTTGAAATGGGCTTTACTAGGAATTTCTTTGCTGAGATTGCAGTGGGGCGGGGAAGGGGTGGCTGAGCCAAGTGTGCTTGTAGGGAGGAGGGAAGGCTCTCTAACGAGGCTTTAAAACCTTCCCTGGTTAAAGTTATATTGATGGAAGCACATGCAGATACACACATATGCATATGCAGATCTTTCTATATACATATACATTCAGGCGGATAATGCGCAAGTTCTGCAGACTTCTATCAGGAGCATGAGTTACACATTATGTAGGTAGCCGAATTCCGATTTTTAAAATCAGAATTGCACCTAACGTGGCTATAAAACAACGCTCGCCTCTGCAAGTAAATTTATGGCTACATGCCTTTCACAGGCACGCTGGAGGGTTCTGCTCCCGGCTCTAATCTCTAGGAGATGTTTTTTGCATGTGTTGTGTGACAGGAGGGAAGGGGAGTGGGTTGAGCTCGCCTGCTCTCCCATTGTCAGCCAGTCTAGTGAGTGCTGGGGAGACCTGTCTATGGGATCTTGTGTCATCTCTCCCTACATGTGTACAGGAAAAGTCCGCGCTGCTCACGGTCTCTCTCTCTCTCTCTCTCTCTCTCT